CACACAAATTGCTTTAAAATTCGTCAACATTACTGAAGAGAGAAAAACTTAGAAACAAAGATTTTTTACACAAAATTCTCGATTAAATAATTTTAACATAATTTAAAGTACACTTTAAACACTTTTCGACACTTTAAAAATAAACAAAGAAAACTTTTTATTATTTTAAAACTCAGCCTTTTATACATATAAAAAAACGATTTCTTGTTCAAAATAATATATGTATACAAAGGTCGATAAAAAAAAATCTGAATATTAATTCAAAAGTTTTCTTATCACTGTAAATCCAAAGACAGAAAAATTTATTTTCAAAGACGATTTGAATTCATTGATCTGAAAGTGTTTATAAGCAAACCAGCAATCGAGAATTCTACATGAAGACTCGTTAAGAATTATAAAAGTGTTTTTTAGAACGCACAACCGATACGCGAGAACATATACACAAGGTTTACCTGGCAATCACAACTTACGGACGGGCTACTATTTTTTCTAAAATGCATCCAATTAGTATTGTTAAACAAGCCAGTAGTATTGAAGAAAACGTAAAATGTAATTAAATTTAAATTTTAAGCGTAACATATTCAATTATCGTAATAACAGATACAAATCCCCATATAGGAATCGTGCTGAAATTATAATTTAATGAACAAAAATATTAATTTGTTTTAACTGAAAAATGTGCATCACCTCTAAACATCTATTTTTAAATCACTGTTTAATAAAATTATAAAACGTATTATATATTCAAATCGAATTTCAATGTTCTACATGACAGTTACAATATAAATGCTGCATTCGAATCACTTCAGCTACACTTGAGTGAAATTGAAAATGGATATTTGCTCTTTCCCACATACTAATTACTTTGTCAAGAAAAACGGATTTTTACAGATACAAAAAAGTAATGCTCAACATCTTTCAATAAAAGCTAAAACATAGCAAATATTACTACGTCTGCTTTCTTTTTTTTTTCAGTCTGTGTAATATAGCGACTTCAATGCATATCTTCATACATTTCTGTTAAAAAATTTCAGACGATCTCTACTTCTCTGTCAACCTTACACTTCTTAACCGATCAATACTTCAAATAAAATTTATTTTTGTAGAAACGAAAAGTAAAATATATATTAAAACATGGTTACGAAGACAGAAGAAAAAAAAGTTACTACTCATTTAAAATACAAATTTTATGGAAACTTAAGAATCATTTGAAAAGCATATACATAATTAAACTAAGTAGTATATTAAAATTGATACATTTCAAGAAACAATATAAACTTAATTTAAAAACTATCGCACACACAAAAGAAGTTTTGTAGAATACTTTCCATTTAACTAAAACAGAATAAGCATAAGGATTCAGATTCAGAACACAACTAATAACATTGCAATATTATTTTCTAAGCAATACTAAGTTTATATATATTTGTGACTTGTATTAAAACATAATTTAACTTAAATTTAATTTTTATCAAGCCAATTTTAAACTTGTGCAACAGCAAAACGAAAATGCACTTGTTTCCCCCCCCAAAAATATACTTTATTTGTGCGAAAAACAAAAACTTAAGTTTCCCAAACACAATCATTTCCCACTAAAAACTGATATTCTGGATTAATAAAACGTCCACTAGCCCTATTGCTACAAAACAATATTTAATATTATGAACCATTACTTGTCCTGGCTGCAACTGTGCTAATATCAAAGCTAAATAAGCATTATTCTTAATACAATGAGACAATTTGATAAAATTAAGCTGATATCTACAAAAGTCATTATGTATTTTTCCTTATCAGATTGAAAAATACATCGGTTTATTTAGAAACACAGAAATTGAAATTTTTTTATAAAATTACCCTGCTTTGATATTAAATCGACTTTTCGTGCAGTTTTAAGTCTCAACGTAATTACATACTCAGGGTAATTCAAGAAATTGATTTTTAACATTAAATTATTCCTCTTTTTTTAAAAAAAAAACAAGATTTTACGAAATAATTTTCATCTTGAAATCCCCTAAGAAAATATATTTAAAATAAAAGAAAAATATTTTAAGATTTTATTCGCGCGAATCCTACTTAACTTATAAAATTTTAAGATCACTCTTCGAATCTAAGAGCACGTGTAAAAGGTAGTATATTTTGGCGGGAAAAAGAAGTTATAGCTTAAAGAAAGTTGGTTAAAATTTAACGCATTCAAAATCTAAATAAAAATTTTTTGCAGGAAAAAAAATACGCTATTTTATTTCCCATAAATTGATTTGATATGTTAGAAAAAATGGAGTTGATCTTTTCGAATTTGCATATTGGAACAACAAACTAGTTGTGTGGTTTACAAATACCGCACGTGGCGACATTTTGGAATAACCTTCCTTTCCCCAAAACTCTTCATTATAATATTTGACATTGAAAGGAAACTGAAATTCCACACAACCTCCCCTCGTAAATCAAGACCCTAACTGCGTCTAGGTTGAACTGAGGTATGTAGGAAGATAAGAAAAAAAAAAGAAATTGAAACAAAATTACCAAATAATATCCTAGTAGTTCCGGATTGTAAGTAGCAAGAAAATCCTCAAGCAAAAACCACGAGGGGGTAAAAATAACCCACGGCGGTATTACTTAGTATTCGAGTCTCTCCTCTGACGCAATGCCAGTATTTACATGTCGTCGTCATCAAGCCGGCGTTTCTTTTCTTCTTTTTTTTTTCTTCCTGGAAACAGATGCGAGAGGCCCCGTTTGGGGAAGCAAAGCCGAAAACAAGTTCAGTTTTTATCGCGCCAACTTCTTATCTGGCGCAGTTCTCCGGCCTGCATTGTTTACATCCACCTCTTCGCAATCGGATATTTAAAAAAAAATAACAATACAGTCATGGATATCGAATTAGCATATCTATGCATGAGTAGCTGTCCAATCATAGAAGCGCTCGCTCATCCGGATGTGTGCCTTTCGCGCCGCCTACGCCGTTGGAAAGGGAGGGGGAGAGGCAAACAATGAAAATCAAAAACAATAAAAAAAAAAGGAGGGATTCGAGATAATTGATAATGGGGTGGTTGGGAAAGGTGTTTTGGTACTCAGAATGTTAATACTCAGATTTGGATCTTATTTTTAAAACTTAATTTTGCGATGTCGCTATCGGCGGAATTCCTTATGTTCCAAATGCATAACGTTTGACAATAACTAATTAAATAAAAGATAAATATGCATTGTTCTTTATAACTTATTTTAATAAAACAAAAAAAAAAGTTTTTCCACTGTATATAAAATGGAAAAAGAATCCCCAATCTAATATTCTTTTTTGTCGTAATTGAATAAAATAAATTTGTAATGTGAAAATTGTTTAAAAACAACAAGCAACAAATATAACGGGAGTCCGAAAAGTGTGACTGAACTTTCAAATAATTACTAAAATTAAATAAAAATATTCACTTACGTTCTTCTTTTCTTTTTTTTTTTTGTTCGCGAAAAAGTATTACAGTTTTTTGCAATGCTTTATTGCACGATTTTAATGGGTGTGCCATTACTTGCATACAACACAACGTGTCGATACGAGATTTCTATAGACGCATTGCAAGTTCATCAATCAGAATGGCCACTGTAGTTCGACTTTTCATCTCTTCGTTGCCACAATTTGAGATGGTTAAATAATGCTTTTCACGTATCCGCACAAGAAAAAGTCCAAAAGTGTTATGTCTAGAGATCTAGGTGGCCATGTTATTGGACTTTCTTCTTTCCGTCCATCTCTCGCTAGGGAAACTTTCCCTCACTTCCAAATCCCAGTGTATTGGTGTCCAATTTGCATTCTACATGTGCTTCAGATTTATATTCGATCGATAAATCATGCTACAACTTACGCTTGATCTTGCAATGAAGCCGTTTTGAAATGAGAATGTTAAAAAACGGGTACGTTGCGCCAACCAGTTTGCATTTTCTTAAACAAAAACTTTCATCTTTTCTTTAAGAAACATAAAAAAATCTGTAAATGAAAATTTTTGTTTGTTTAAATTTAATTAATTTTTAAAAGTGTAGTCATACTTTTCGGACACCCTATATTTAATTTTGCGAGAGAACTTAATATAAAATTACAGTGAGAATCATCATGCCCAGGATGAAGTCATTTATTTTATGTACGCATTTAATATTCAAATCCTTAAATTTGTTGTTTAGAAAAGAATGAACTAAGGATTGATAATAAACTTCTCTCTTTTAAAAATCATATCATTATAAAAGAAAAATTTATTACATTGATAAGATAATAAAAATACGCTGAATTTACGTAAAAAATTGATAAAATTTTTAAACATACGTTATTTGCTCAAAGTGTCAGTAAATTCGCAAGCAGTGGCATACACAAACCATTTTTATGAGAGAGGTGCAATTCATAAAATACATAGATGAAGGCTAAGGGACGTAATTTGTATGTTAAAAAAAAAAAACTCTGTGATATTCTACGAGGATTTACCCACCCACGGGGTTGTATATTCCATTGCTTACAAGCACCGATAAGTTTAAAGTGATAAGTAAACTGTTACGGTTGTTGATAAACCAATCATGACCTTTTCCAAATTCTCTGCCACAACAAAAACATTTTTTTAAAAAAAATTATACATTTCTAGTAATCAGATTGTTTTTTTTAACGAAACAAAATAACCTAATTTGATGATTAGAATTAAATTTCAAAACATAATAGCAAACACTGAAAATGCATATAAAACAAGTAATATATAAAAAAAATTAAGTCAATTCCTACTTAGGTCAACAAAGAAAAATTTTTAGTTACTTTTTATTAAATAGTTACAATTAATATAAATATGTATATACATATGACAAAATCCCAATATTAAGTGGCAAAATAGAAAAGGATATTTTCCTTGCAATTTTTCATTTTCCTTTCTCTATATATGATGTTAGACAATAGCTTTGTTTGTTACTATTTATTCATTAATTTAATTTAATTATTCTAATAAAATAGTACAGTAAAAAAGAAATCACATTCTCAGAAATTATGTCATCTCAGGTGGGATTCGAAACTTTGGATTAGAAGTCCAACGCGCTATCCATTACGTTACAGGGACACAACGAACGATTTTCTTTTCTATATGTACTGTTGGACTATTATTTTTTTTAATACTATTTATTCATTTTTTAATTTAGTTAATGAATTGATGTTTGAAAAAACTGTATTAACGTCAAGTGTCATCCACTACAAGTTTTTAAAAATATATTTAAACTTGAATGGATGAATAGAAAGTATTTTATTAACGATTGAAAATTTGAACAAGATATATATATATATATATATGTGTGTGTGTATATATACAAGGAGAAAGTGAACTAATAGTAGGAATTAAATAACTGCAAAACTTCATTAAATTTGAAATTTATTCACTTAAAACATAAAATATAGATAGTTGTTTACTGAAATTAATACTTTTTTAAAAAATTCATGTCAATAATGTTTTTATGCAATAAGATTAATTGTTATAGAATTCTTGCCATCAACATTTTTACTATCAATTCATCTTTAAAAATAAAATAGCCTCGAACTAAAACAGTAACTGCATCGTCTTAACTTTAATCACGATTCAACAAACAAGAGTTAAGAAGCTTACTATAAAGATTAATATTTCGAAAAGCAAAAGAAAATTCTCTGTAAGCAGAGAATGAACTGGATCTGAAAACGTGCAACTGACAACTAGGGACTATGATGAGAAATATTGTTTTGTTGATTTTGAAATTAACAACACGTAAGTTCTCTAAAGCTGAACAGCTTAGATGTAAGCCAGGGGAAGGCGGGCTTTTCCAGGATACGGGCTACTTCTAATGTTTTCAAGGTGTTGCGGTACACCCAGTCAGGGCCGGCTCTAGTAGTTTTGCCACCCCGGACAAAAATGGAAAATGCCGCCCCTCTCTCTAAAGCAAAAAAATATAATTAAAAAAGATAAATTGTTCGCATAGATACACACCTACAGAATAATTTTTTTGCGAACGAAAAGGGAGCATAATAATTATATTTATTATATTTTAAGTCTTAAAAAAATACAAAATAATTCGAAATTAAGAACTAATTATCTGTTATTATTTGAAACGAGTAAAATGTAAGAGAAGGAATCACCCATTTCAGGAGGTCAATTTCTTCGAAAAAGAGTCTACTGATGGTGGGGGTCACAAGCGTTTATTTTAACATAGATGCTAAACTCGAGACTAAAATAAAACATTTCTTTTTCTTCTCTATCAACAGAAAATTCTAATTACCCCTGTCTCCTTTGAAACCGGACGTCGTATATGTAAAAAGAATGTCCGTTGTGACCCTATTGCAGGCTGAGGAGTAGGTTACTAGTGAAAGATGTGTAAACATATAAAATTTAATGATTTAACATGTACTCCCGCCTCGAACTCTTCAAGTTTCAACAGAAACTGGCATTGTACGCAGTGCCGGTTTAAGCTCATTTCGGGCCCGGAGCGCAGAAAATGTACGGGCCCCTTTCAAACTGGCGGATCGAGTCTAGCTTATCCGGGCCCCTAGCCGCCCGCCCCAAGCACTCAATGGATAAAATGACACTAATTAAACGTACATACAAAATAAGGAAATAAGATACTTAAATAAAATACCAAATTCTCACCCAATAATATTTCAGGAAATATATAAAATTTTTTGTAGAAAAAATATTTCTCAAGTTCGATCCGAATGCCGCCCTTAAAATTTTCCGCCCCGGCCCTAGAGCCGCCCCTGACCCAGTGGCGTAGGTATGGCCATTCTGTTTTAAAACTATATGTTTTCTTTTCTTAACACAATGTTTTCGACATTATATTCCTCTTTTAAACAATGACAGATTATTATTTTTACCCTCAAAAACACAAGTAACACAAAATTGTCTTCCTGAATACTTGAACAACTATGAGCGACTGCTAGACCAATAGACGTATTAAGTGCAATGAACAGTGAACATACGTGAACCGATGAATCTGAAACGTATGTGCTTAATATGTTTCCTGCCGAGCTTCGTGCCATCGCGGAACATGATTTCAACACGAAAACCCAATCCTGTGGAAGCGCGGGGTCGGGGATGATGTCTCAATAACCAATCCCGTTCTATCACGGGAAGAGCTTATCTTCAGCATTTATTCCTTCCTTCAGTCGGCTTGTGGGGAAAAATTCCTTCTATCTTAGAGCTCTCTTTTTTTAACACGTTTTTATAAGTTTCACTTGTATGTAATGGAATCTTTGAACTCGATTTTTACCCACTTTAAAAGGTCAGATTAATTCGAAATTTCGCACACTTGTCAAGGACCGATGGCAGTATAATAATTTCATAATTTGGTTTCATTGTCCTGATTAGGATCTTAATAATTAAGGAATATAAGGATTTCTAGATTTGGCGACTAATTCATTAAATCGTTTCCAGATCTGTCGAGTAATTGCATAAACCATTTTCAGGTTTGGCGAACTAATTCCATATGTCATTTCTAGATTTGGCGACTAATTCCAGATTTAGCGCCTAAAAGATTAAGGTGAAACCCTAAAACCGCAAACGGGAATAAAAATAATTCATGTTCTAAATGCTAAATATTTTTTTATTTTGATAAAGCAATATGTTTGATAATACGAATTAACATTTCGCAATACGTTTAAAAGGTGATATAATACGATTGATATTTAATATTTCTTCTTAACACACTTTTATTAGTTAAGACCTGTATCTATAGTCAGAATCTTTGAAATACAACGATAGGGGGCACATCCGAGGTCCCGTAAACGGAGAAAATAAATACCCTTCAGACCCATTAATTAATATCCATTGAAGAGCAAGACTAATTCCAGGAACCACATAATTCCGGCAACAAATATCAAACTCAAGGATAAATTCAACAAAGAATAAATGATAGTTTTAAAAACTGGAAAACAGGCTTTTATTGTAGATCGAACTAAAAAATGAAAAATAAATTATAGTTTTTTTTAAAAAAAACTAAAAAACACGCTTTTATAGTGAATCGAACTAAAAAGTAATAGAATAATTCTTAAAATAAGAATAAAATGATTAACGAGAAAATTAATGCCATTGTGGTAAAAGCGTGGGGTGCTTTGTACTACATTTTTACACTAATTCAGCATTTCGGAACAGAACTAGTAAGAAATATAACAATTAATACAACGCTTTTTTTCCCTATAGCGGTAGTGAACGTGTTAAGCGTCACCATGTACTTCCAGCGAAGGTACATGTGTCCTCTACAGATTTATCGAATGATTTGCTTAGGTAATGTGGATCGTGAAAAGTCAATTCTCCAGTCTAGGTGTCATCGGTGTTCCATACATATGTTTCTTTTAGTCTTAGTCTCTTTTTTAGCGTCTTAGATCTTAGTAAAAGCGGTCACCTTAAAATGTCGTGGCGGTTCACCAGTCAATCGAGATCGGCTTAAAGCCCATCCCTGATGTAAGCCACATAATATAGCATACAAGCAACTTCTATCGAATAATTATCAAATAGAATGATTTCAAGAAGCTTATACACTCTCTCTCTTCTGCATCTTGACACTTCTTTCTCTCTGTCTTTCCCTAAAAAATAATTATTTTCAAAGATACTAATAACACTTACAATTATAGTTTTGGTAAGAACATATTATTTTTTAACACTGCTACTAAAAAGAAGAAAAGACAGATTTCACAAAATATCTCATTTAATGATATAAGCTAAAAAATAAACTCGGTTTGTACAGATTGAGAAATATATATTCTACTTTGTCTTTTAAGTCCTTTAGAAACCAACTCAAACATATACATTCGGTAAAAAATGTATATAATTAACAATAAAACAATAACCATACTAGTCTACCTTTTATTTTGAAATTTTAGAAAGAGTTCTATATTTAATTTATTTAAGTGGATTAATAAATACAGATTTTTGGTTATAAAAGTCAGGATTATTAGGATTGGCTGAAAAATTTCAGCCAACAAAAAAAGTATTTTGTGTATAAAGAAACATTTTGTAAATACTAAGCTAAATAAATTCTTTTCAAAAAAATTTTAATTTTATTTCAAAATAATACCAATTTTTTAAAAGGCTTCATTATATTATTTAGAAGCAAATGCTTATAATTCTCTTAAAAAATCTTTTAAGAAATAACAAAACTGAAATTTTATTATGTGTGTAAATATATTTTATTTTTTAACTATTTTTATAAAATGAATGAATCTTGCAACAAAAGAAAATATTTTACTAACATAATTTTAAAAAAAATGTTTTTCATCTTCGCATAACCTCAGAGAGTTTTAGTGATAGAAAAAGAATATCTTTATAAGAGACATATAAAATAAAACTTAAATTTTTTATAGATTACACAATAAGCTAATGTTGATCACAAAAATCCTGAAACAATTGTCCTATTATCAATACAACGCGTTAATGGATAATGGAAAAGCTATAACATGAATGATTAAAGAAAAATGTGGGAAAATAAAAGGTTGTAAAATATAAAACTTTAATCTCACAAATAACTCTTTAAAATAAAAATAGTTTAAATGAAATTTACACAAAATAGGATGCTTTATTACAACAATTAGAAAGAATTATGTATTTTAAATACTTAATAAAAATTACAATTTTCGTACTATGATCAAAGACAACTAACTCATTTTTAGTGAGTATTCATGGAAAGTCTTCAAGAAAAGTAATTAAACGTTTTATGGATGTGTAAAAACTTTTAAATTTCCAATAGTTTTATCAAAATAAAATTGGTTGGGTGGAAGGTAGAAGCCTTCTATAAATATCATGATAAAACTCATGAAATAAATAAAAATAAGTTACGTTTAATATAAGCTTTCTTTTTATGAAACAATTTAAGAAAATTTCAATATTTGATTTAAACTTAGCATCACGTGTGTGTGTGTGTGTTTTGTTTGCTAAATGAATGTTCCGAATTATTTGGAACATGGTCATGCTAATTGATGCATTTTCATACCTCTTAATGCTTATATCTTCTTAATGTTTTTCAATATTTTAGAGCTTATTTAAGAAAATTAATATAAAAAATAAATAAAATAAACTATTTTTTTTAATTTTCTGCTTCTTATAAAATC